CCCCAAAACCCCAAAACCCCAAAACCCCAAAACCCCAAAACCCCTTATAAAAGCATAGTAATTGAGATATCATTAATATAATTTTAAATTATTAAAATGTATCACTCTCAAGATAAATCGAACAAAACTATTAAGAAATTATCAGTCCTGCTTACAAGTGATCAGGACTTCTGCAACTACAGTCACTCTTCTATTGAGGCCATTGGAGGTCATCTTGCTTATCACTTGACTGAAGCTTCAGAAGAACTTAAAGAGCAGTGTCTCAAAGAGTCAGAAGAGATTGGAGATCCAAAATATCAATACCCTATTTTCTTTGACAGGCTTATTCATTCCAGGGCAAAAGATATCAAGGGTGTTATCACTCTAAAATTACCCGATTCTGATTGTACCTTGGTTCCTTCTAACTGCAGCAACATCAAAGAAGGTGATTTTTTTAAAAAGCTATCTTTTGTTGATAGTGCAATTGTTACCTTCTCAGCAATGAACAAAGCACTTCATGAAGAGCTTGCCGAACAGAATGATTACAAAGACTTATTCTGAAACATGTTCACATTTGGAATCAAAGAAGTCATAATTGCTGTTGACAATATGGATATGGTTGATTATGATGAAGAACAATTTGAATCTATCAAAAGAACTATTTCTAATATACTTCCTAAAATTGGATATAGATTGAATAAAGTAAATTTCATTCCTATAAGCTCGACCACAGAAGATAATATCTGAGAAAACTCTTCGAACATGCAATGGTATCAAGGCCCTTTGTTGTGAACTGCTGTTAACCAGCTCGCTCAAGCAAGAACTCTATATCACCCTTTTAAATTTTTATGATCCGAAGCTTATAGGGAGGAGAAAAAGACTACACTTTTTGAAGGAAAAGTCATTGAAGGATCAATCACTGCAGGTAGCAATATCTATGGGATCAAACTCCCAAAGACCAAAGTACTTGAAATATTCAAGTTTGGTGAATCTATTTCTGAAGCAAAAGCAGGAGACTTTGTAACTTTAAATGTTGGGAAAAAATCATTAAAGGAGATCAAGTCCGAGCATATCCTGACTGATGTCCCAGTTCCTCCTCCTTCTAGCTTTGATGCACATTGTATTTTCATTAAAATAATCAATGGAACAGCTGAAGATCTCGACAATAAAGACTACATAACTGTAGGATATCAGTGTAGGCTCTCCATTGGTGGAACTCAAACTTGCTGAGTAGTTTCTGAAATTATCAGCAAACTAGATAAAAGAACTGGAAGGGTTTTAGAAGAAAATCCGGAGAAGATTTACAGTGGAGATGCAGCTATTTTTAAAATAACTCCCTGAAAGCCGATTATATGTTACTCTTTCATAGAGAGTGCAAAACTAGGGAGACTCTTAGTGGGCAATCAAGAATCTCTTGCAGTTGGAATTGTAAAATCTATTGAATAAATTTCAACTCTGTTTTATTATATTGGGGTTTTGGGGTTTTGGGGTTTTGGGG